ACCCGCGCTGCGCTCCGCCTGTGGTTTGTCCGCGCCGACGCCGCCCTCGCCGGTCCGCACACCATTGCGCTCCCGCCCTGCGGGCGCCCACAGAGGAGCTCAAAGCTTCGCAGGCGGCGCAGACAGTCCCCGTCCCCTGTGCCGCCCCCGCAGCGCTAGGCGATGAGCAGTGGGCTCCGGAATAAGAAATGGACGCGATGCGAGCCCAGCCCCGGCGCGGGGTGTGTCCGGGCCTGAGGCGACCGCCCTCCTTGCTCCGCGCTGGGACCCGGAGCCCGACCCCGGTAGCTCAGGAGGGGGCTGGGGACCGGTCAGCTCGGCGTCCCCGACGCGTCCTCGTGAACAGTCCGCCCCGTCGCGTCTCGGTGAGAAGCCTCCGAGGGGCCCTGCTCCCGCCCGGCCCCGGTGCCGCTCCCACGGCCTCCCCGCTCCTCCCGGCGCCGCAGCGTCTGCGGGGGAGGCCGGGACCAGGGTCTCCCCGACCAGCCGAGCGTTTCCAAAGCCGTCCTGCCCTCTCGCCAGGCGGGGCCGCTTCTCCCCGGTTCCCCCGGCCCCTCCGCGGTGTCTCCGTCAGGAGCCCTGCGCGTCTTCGGATGCTTCACCCGGTCCGCGCAGCCGTCGTCGCTCCTCCTCGGCCTGGTTCCCCCGGGGGTCGGAGTCGGTGCCGGCAGCGCCCAGCCCTCCCCTCTGAGCTCCGTGGCCGGGCTCACCCGCTTCCCCCGGGCCGGTTCCTGCCGCTGGGGAAGGTGCTGGGAGCGAGGTCTGGCCGCTGCGTTTGGCGTCTCCGCGGGCGGATTCGGAGCCGCTGGTGGGCACCACACACCCCCGCCCCCCGCGTGGGCTCCTGTGCCCGGGAGGCTGGAGCCGGGACTCGCTCCCGCTGGGCCTGCAGCTCCTCCGGCCGCACCGCTCGCCCCGACCCCTCACTGCCCCGCCCTGTCCTCGGCTGCCTCACTCGCTAGGTCGGTCCCGGCCGCTCCCGACGCCGTCAGGGTGACCAGCCCGCATTTCTGTGGGAAGCAAACCTCCTGACTGGGGTGTCATATTTGCATGCGGGTTTTTTAAATCTTCAGAATATGTAGTCGAAATGCTGCCCTACGGGTGGGAAACCAGGGCCCCCACCTTCCTAAGACCCGGGCGCTTCCGAGAGCTTTTCATACCCGACAGGTAAACTCACAACATAGAAAAGGCGGGAAAGCTCAGCGTCTCACAGGTGAGGACCTGGGGGCCCTGGTCCCTCCCCTGCTGGGCACGGTTCCTCCTGGGGAGGCTGCGGGCGGACGGGTCGGTGCCGGCTCTGAGCCTCGGCCTGCGGTGGGATTGGCACAGGAGCAGCCGCTGACGGAGGCGGGAGGGCGCTGCACCTGGGCTCGTGCAGTGGGTCTGGTGTGCACCCTCGAAGCTGGTTTCTCGGAAGCAGCTGGGAATGCAGAGGGAGCCATGGTGGCCACATGGGCCGGGCTCCATCTGGACACGGTGATTTTATCTTGAAAATGGCCAGCAGCCCGGGGCTCGGGTCACGCGATTGGATTTCTGCACGAGAAGGGCAGCTCTGGAAGGTGGCCGTGTGCCCGATGCCGACGGCACAGGGCAGGGCGGGCGGGTCCTCGGGAGCCGTGGGCCTGCGGGCCTGGCTGTGCTCGGGCCCTTGTCCAAGGCCCCGCAGCAGGGGGTCCTTCAGCGTCGTGTCCCTGTGAGTGTGACAGGCATGTGATGGCCTGTGTGCGCGTCGGCTTCTGTGGACGGGCCTGCCAGACCAGACTCACCAGGCACCACAGCCACCCGGGCTCCTGGCCATTCGCTGGGTCATCACTGGGACACTCACCCCAGGGCCTCTGCCCACAGGGTTACCCCACGTCTGGGCTTTCCCGGAGCTCTGCGGCCGGCCTGGCGGCACCGGGCCTGACCACTGGGTTCCCAGGGATCCAAGCTCTGCCACCAGCGCAGGCCACAGTCCATGTGATGCGAGTCACTTGTGCCATGTGTCACATGCATGGCTCTTGTGATGCATGTGCCATGTTGATATGTGTCACGTGTGCCGCTTAGGACACTCGTGGTCGGGGCATGTGTGCTCCTGACCTGCTGGGCCCTGGGGGAGCCGCCGCATGGGGCTCCGGAATGCACAGTGCGACCGACAGCTGGGAGCCGGCCCGGAGCTGCTTCCTGGGGTGACAGCGACCAGAGCCCGTGGCTCCGAGGTGGGCTCCCTAATGGAGCCGCTCCCCGCCTCTCACCACAGCTGCTGCCATGTTGCCACCGCCCTCGGAGCAGGCCCTGAGCGAGCTGCTGGCGCGCAAGGAGGAGGAGTGGCGCGCGCTGCAGGCCCACTGCGCCCAGCTGCAGGAGGCGGCCCTTCAGGACGCTCAGCGCCGGCTGGAGGAGGCCGAGGGGAGGCTGCGGCGCCTGCAGGAGGACTTCGTCTACAACCTGCAGCTGCTGGAGGAGCGGGACCGGGAGCTGGAGCGCTACGACGCCGCCTTCGCCCAGGCGCAGAGGCTGCAGGAGGCCAGGCAGGCCGAGGCCAGTGAGCTCAAGATCGAGGCGGCCAAGCTGCGGCAGGCGCTGGCCAGTGAGGCCCGGCAGCGGGAGGACCTGCAACAGCAGCACCAGCTGAAGCTGCAGGAGCACCGCCTGGCGCTGGAGCAGGTCCACAGGTGGGCACACCTGCGCCTCCCTCACACGCCGGCCCTTTCACTGGCTGCCAGGCCTGTGCTGTGGGTGCTGGGCCCACGCCCCCGGCAGGCACAGCTGGCCACCCCCACCCCACCCCACCCCACCGGGTCCAGCCTCTCCCGGAGGAGGCAGTGCCTCGCTCACTGTTCGCCCGTAGTGCAGACGCTGGCACCAGGCCATTCCCGATCCTGGTAAAAAGGACAGTGTGGCCCTGGCCAGTGTGCTCAGTGGGTGGTGTCACCTGTGCACCGAGCCGTCACTCTTTGATTCCGGTTGAAGCACAGGCCCCGGTGGGTGCAGGCTCTGCTGTTGGGCAGGCTCTGGTGTGGGTGTCAGTGCTGCTCTCTGGGTCCTGCTGACGCCGCCCCTCAAAAGCAAAGTACCATTCACACTCACACGGCTCCCGCGTCGCGTCCTCTGAGCACTGTCCAGTGGGGCTTCTCCTGATGCTGTTGTCTTTGCCCAGCGACAAGAATGCTGAGATCGACCGCCAGCGGGAACAGTATGAGAAGCTGAAGTGGCAGCTGGAGAGGAAGCTCCAGGAGCTGGATGGCGAGCTGGCTCTGCAGAGACAGGTAGGAGGCGCACCGGGCCCTGCGCTGACTGCCCTGCCTGGTGTCCCGGGTTCGGGAAGACGACCACTAGTAACTGTCTGGCATCTGGGGGATCACAGCTGAAGGGCTGCGGTCAGAGTGGGGTCCCAGTGTGCTGAGCTGGGACCTGGGCTTCCCCGGAGGGTGGGTGGGTGTAGACAGAGGAGCTGTGGGGGCTGAGCCCGGGGTGAGGACAGGTCAGGTGGGCCCTTTGGCTGCAGGACGCTGGCAGGGGGCGAGCAGGAGAGGTCCCCAGGGGCTGCCTGTCGGGGAGGCGGGGACAGGGTGGCCGTGGCCGCAGCAGCATCCCCGGGTGGGCGGGGTTCTGGTCCTGGGCTGAGTTCCCTGGGTCACAGGCCGGGCTCCGCCTGCCCCCTGGTGGCCGCAGCCTGCAGAGCTCTGCGCAGAAGGCAGTGCTTGGTCCTGTGACACCTCAGGACCAGTGGATGCGATGATGTTCACGTTCTGGCGTCAGTAAGGTTACTCATGCGACCCTGGTACTTCATTTTGCTCCTCAGAGGGTACAAACAGTGAAGGGTGGCTCTGCAGTCCCACCTGCACAGTGTGAGGCCCCTCCCCCCGGAGAGCGACAGCCAGGCATTCGTGACGGCCAGGTGTGGGCCCAGCGCGGGCTCCCTGTGTCCCCAGTCACTGAGCCAGCTGGATGCTCACAGGAGGCGGGAGCCAGTGAGCCTGAAAGACGTGAGACAGGCCGAAGTGCTGGGCTCCCGGCTCCCAACCTGCAGGCAGGACCTGACGGGTGGGCCCCGACTGTCACATTGGGGGCATTCTGGGGGCAGGAGGCTCTTCCCAGCAGGAGGGACCCAAGAGAGTGGCTGCAGGGGTTGCAGGGACAGGCCAGTGGCCGCAGTCGGGAGCCGGGAGGCTGTGCAGGGGAGGAAGGTCGCACTGCGGGGTGCATCCTGGGAAGGGGCGCCGCTAAGGAAACAGGAGGGAACAAGACAGACACAGAGAAGCAGAGAGGAGGGTGGGAGGCGGGTGCTTCAAATGCCAGGAGAAATGGCGTGGCGGGAGCGCTGGGATGCGACTGCTGGGTGGGCAGGGGCAGTGTTATCGTCGTCATGGTGACTGCGTCTGCCTTCAGAATGAGCCCTGGGTGAAGCTGGGAAGGGCCTGGTGTAACAGGAGGCGTGGGGTAGGGTTGCCCAACCGGTTGCCTGTCTGTTGTAGCAAGAAACCAGCAGGTCAGGAGGAGTGACACTGGTGGTGGGCGTGAGCATGGCCTTAGAGACTCGAGGAACCCACCGGAAAGCCGTTCGGAGTGGTGGTCCGGCCAGGGCTCGTGTCTGGTCCTCCGTCTTTACGCTTCGCCCTGGGCCTCCCTGCAGCTCAGTGTGCGCGGGGCAGCTCAGCGTACTGCATAGCGAGGATTGCAGCCACAGGACGGCTTGCCGCCAGGCCGCGCCCTCCGAGACGCCTGAGGCTCCGTGTGCACCCCGGGCCCGCTGTCCCGCCCGCTCACCCTCTCCCACCCCCAGGAGCTATTGCTGGAGTTCGAATCTGAAGTGCAGAAGAGGGAGCACGGGTTCCGGCTGCACGCCGACAGCATGAGCAGCACAGTCCTAACCCACGAGCTCAAGGTAACGGGCGCGTCTGCCAGGGCCTCTAGTGGTGAGGTGACCTCTGAACGGAGAGTCGGGCCACACGAGGGCCTCTTCCTTTGCACGGAGCCCCCACAGGGCCAGGGCCTTTAGCACCGAGTCAAGGATCAGCCTGAGGAGAGGGAGCTGTCTGTGCAGGGGAGGTGAAAGGGGGCAACGCCTGCCCCGGCCCAGCGGCCCTGGCTGGTGCTAGAAGGATGGACGCCCTGTCCTCGTGGTCAGCTAGGTCCCTGCCCCACTGCCAGCCTCCCCCAGCCTGCAGTCCATGGGCAGCACTCGCCATCAGGGGCCCAAGGACCCTGGCGGTTCTCTGGGCTGGAGCCCATCCCGAGTCTCAGTTCCTGGCACAGACACCAGTGCCCATGGGCCCCACCTGCCCCAGGGCCAGCGAGGCATCCAGACCGCGAGGCTGGGCTGCCCACAGTGACCCTCACCTGGCCACTGTGGGGACTTCTGAGCGCCAGGGGAGAGGAGATTTGTGGGGGTCACCCTGTGCTCCACAGCATGGAGGACACTCCTGTAGGGGGGCTGCAGGGGGGAGGGCGGGGGGAGTCCCAGGTGCAGGCCCTGGCCCCACCTGCTGTGCGAGTGGGTTCCAGACCCCAACACTGCTGCCCCCAGGGCTCATGCCCGGGAGCTGTTCGGGGCAGCAGCTATTCCGTCCCCAGATGTTAGTCGAGGAAACTGAGGCCAGAGAGGTTAGTTAAAAATGGAGTGTGCGGCCGGGATTTCAGCCCGTTCCCTCCACCTCCACCTGCATGTGTGAGTCCAGATCTAAATCGTATTCACACCTCGTGTGAGGAAATGAAGCAGGTACACTGGCCCGTTAGTGCCGGCTGGGCCACGTGGCCTCGTGGGGGTGCGGAGCTCTCCAGGGCCGTGGGCCCCCTGGGGGAGCTGCCGGCGTTCTCTCCCGATCCCGATGGGTGACGCTCACAGCCTCGTCCTGAAGCCTCTTCCTGTCTCAGGTTAAGCTTCTGAACAAGGAGCTGGCGGCGCTGAGAGAGGCCGGGGCCCAGGCTGCCGAGTCCCTGCAGGGCGCGCAGGCGGCCAAAGCGGAGCTGGAGGAGCAGCTGCAGCGCGCCGCCTGGGAGCTCCGGGACCTCGCCGCCGTGAAGGACGCCCGGTGCGGGTCTCTTCCGGGTCCGGGGGGTCCTGGCCGACTGCAGGGGCTTTCCACTCACACTTGGTTCTTCTCAGGATAAAAGACCTGGAGGACAAGCTCCAGTCGCTGCAGCTCACCCGGAGCACGGAGCAGGAGACCTTCCGGAGGAAGTGAGTGTTTCTGGCCCCGTGTGATGGCGTGGGCGGCCTGGGCCTGCAGCGCAGACGCCTGTGAGCGCCCGGTGCCGCCAGGGGAGGTGGAGAAACCCTGTTCCCCTCGCTGTGTTTTCAGGTTTGCATCCCGAACCTCTTAAATTATGAATTGAAATAGTTGAGAACGAATATCATTTCCAGCATCTTACGGTACTGTCATTAAGAGCTAAAACTGCTCTTTAACACCCACCTAGATGCCATGGCAGCGTCACACCCACTTCCATTCAGTTAAAAGTGCAGCCCGGCCGGCATGGCTCAGTGGTTGAACCTCGACCCAGAAACCAGGAGGTCAGGGTTCGATTCCCGGTCAGGGCACAGGCCTGGGTTGGGGGCTCCATCCCCAGTAGGGGGTGTGCAGGAGGCAGCTGGTCCATGGTTCTCTCTCGTCACTGATGTTTCTTTCTCTTCCTGTGTGAAATCACTAAGGATATGTATATATACTAGAGGCCTGGTGCACAAATTTTGTGCACTGGTGGGGGAGGGGAGTGGGAGGGGGATGGGAGGGGTGTCCCTCAGCCCCACTTGTGCCCTCTCACAGTCTGGGACCCCTCGGGAGATAACCACCTGCTGGCTTAGGCCTGCTCCCCGGGTGGCAGATGGCAGCCCGATCCTTTGGTGCCTGGCCCACCTCCCCGGGTTGCGCACACGGCAGGGCCGATCCGGGGGTTGGGGCGCCACCCCGGGTCGGGTCGCACACGGGTTGCCCCGGGCTGGCCGATCGCTGCTGCCCCTCCCGGCCGCCCCGGGTCGGGTCGCACACGGATGCCCGCTGCCCTGGGTCGCAGATAGCAGGTCCGTATGGCGGCAGGGCAGGCGGGATGGCGCTGTCCCGCCCCACCGCCCTGGGTTGCAAATAGCAGGCCCAGATGGCGGGGGCAGGCGAGATGGCGCTGTTCCGCCCTGCCTGCAGTATGCAAATTAGCCACCATCTTTATTGGAGGTTAATTTGCATATCATGCTGATTAGCCAATGGGAGGCATAGCGAAGGTACAGTCAATTACCATGTTTGTCTATTATTAGGTAGGATTTTATCATATGATTTTATTGATTTTTTACAGGGAGAAAGGGAGAGGGACTGAGAG